GGGGGGGGGGTTGGGCAAATTTGCCCGCAGTGGGTCTTTGAGCTCTCTGTTGTATGTCTGGGGTTGGCTATGACCTCATGATTTGTTTTTTGTCTTCACCCCACCCTCATCATCATCACTGAGGGGGATAATCCAAGATCCTGAGTTGCCACCAGATCAGGAAGAGGGGAACACTTGCAATGAAAACATTGCTTCCAATAAGTATACACTATACCAGCGTTCCTCAACACTTGCCCAGTCAGGGCACCCCATTAAAAGTGTGCAAAATCTCAAGGCACCCCAGTCTACAAAAAAAAGACTAGTGGACCCTCCAAAATCCATAACACCCCTTATCCAAAATAAGGGTCTGGTATGGATTTTAAGGTGGGACCCCATACAAAGAAAAAATGTGGTGTTCCCCTTTACATCAGAAACTCCCTTCACATCAGAGTCCCCCTTTAAATCATGACCCCCCTCTTTTTACATGAAAGTCACCCCATCTCACACTAGGAGCTCCTCATCACATCAGGATCCCCCATTTTACATCAGGGGCATGAGGCTGTGTGTAAAATTTCGAGGCGCCCCCGAGGAAGGCTGCACTATACAATCCGAGAGGACAAACTTATTTAGCTCCACCATCGGCCATGTAGAGCAAGGGCCTGCCTGATACAACTTGAATAGAAGGCTTAGGTCTGTCCTCGCTAGGGATGCACTGGTACCGTTTTTTCGTTATCGAGTATCCATATTTTTTTCCGGTACTCGCCGGAAAACCAAATACCAGAAGTCCCAGAAAGGAAGCCGGGCGGCATGTAATGTCTCGCTGCCCGGCTTCCTGATTAGCCGGGAAGCCGTCACCAGTTGACAAGGAAGCATGGAGCCGGCTTTCTGGCCAATCAGGGAGGCGGGTAATGACTCGCCGCCTGGCTTCCCGATTGACCAGCTTCCCAACCAATCAGGAAGCTGGGAGGCAAGTCATTACACACCGCCCGGCTTCCTGATTGCCCTTGGAGCCGGCTTCCTGGCCAATCAGGAAGCGCCAGGCAGTGTGTAATGACTCGCCGCCAGGCTTCCTGATACTGCAAGCTCTGGTAACGGGATAGGCACCGGAAGCATTGGGGCGAGTACGAGTATCGGTGCATCCCTAGTCCTCGCAGTTAAACATAAAGAGATGGTATAGCGCATGGGCAGCTTCAGAGGGCCCGAGTCAATTACTCAGACTTAGAGCACATCTAAACCCAATAACAGACACTAAATATATTGCAGCTTACCAGTCTTCGGAAGTTGTGGCTGCATTGTTTATCTTTTTACCTTGTGATCCTGTCAGTAACACACTTCCTATCCTATGGTGACAACGCCTACTTACTGCACCATGGAGGAGCAGCGTTGTCACCTCAGGACAGGTAGTGTGTTAGTTACATAGTATTTGAGGTTGAAAAAAGACACGGGTCCATCAAGTACAACCTATAGAGTGTATATGCATATGAATCTACATGTGTAGGAGTGTGCATGAGTCCATGTGCCATCTTCTTAAGTGTTAGGAATTGCATTGTAGGGTGAACCCCAGTTCCCCCCCATTGATTATTATGACCACCTGACGTTTGTAGGCTAATTAGCTATAATTTGGCGCTGAAGTTGCTAGAGGGCCAGGCCATTCTAAATAGGGAAGCGGGTTGGTTACCACGACAGTAGAAGTGATTTGTTTCTGAAGATACGGGGAAACAACGCGATGTAACATCCTTTGAACGTGGGATGATTGTTGGCGCTCGGAGCCATGGAGCGAGTATCAGCAAAACAGCAGAATTGGTTAAATGTTCAGGAGTGGCTGTTGTTAAAGTGTTTAAAGACCGGACTGTCAGCCGAAAATCTGGGTCTGAATGTGCGAATTGTGGCCGTCAGCGACTAGTCAATGTTAGGGCAGAACGGTGTCGGATTCCTCGTGGAGTCACGAGGCGGCCCAAACGAAGTACTGATGGGGTGGTCATAATAATCTGGCCACTCAGTGTATATATTTATAAAAACAAAATCATACATTAAAACAGAGATGTACAAATCCCGGGAGCTCCGTGTGCTCCTTACACATGACAGCTGCCTCCAAACTTTTTGAGTTTTTCTCTAGTCTAGTCTTGGAGCTGGAAAAGTATCTGTACTTCTACCGAGTACGGTACTTGGTATCGGTGCAATCTAGTCCAAAGTTAAACTTTCAAACTCCCCAGTGAGCTCCCAGTATTGAATTTCAGTATAGTCACACATTAAATTAGCTTATAAAAAAAAAAATCCTCAACCTCCCCCAAATCAGACGTTCTGGCCGTGATATCCGTAAAGCAGGTAACCATCACAAGAGAAATCATATACAATGAAAAAAATTTAATGGTCCCAAAATAGAGAGAGATTCGACAAGTCGGCAGAAGCCCAGGGTGGAGAAATAAGAATACAAAAATTATTTAAAACAGGACACGAAGTGAACACACCTAGAATTCCACTCAAATTTTAATCAAGAAGGTCGGAGAGGTTTCCCCTACACCTCCAAAATGAAAGCTGCAGTTTCCAGGGTAAT